TGACCCTACCGTCAAAAAATGTATTGATCTACAGATTTAGAGGTTTTAAGCAGAGGCTTCGGATATATAGCCCTTGGTGCGACCATACCCTCATTTGTTTTCTGAGTTCACATATGAAATTTATGTCTAGTCTCTTTTTTGTTGTCTTGGGCTGTAAATTCCGGGTCAAAGCTATTTCTTATAAAATAAATTTAAAAAATATATTCAGTTCAGAGTTTAGAGAAATAAGGCCAGAAACTTCAAATTTTTTTGCTTATTGCGATAGGCAGGGTTTTGTCATATTCCAATCATAATCTAAACCGTAAATAAAAGTGGTAGATGATGTTCGTCACCGCAGCTTAATTCTGCTAACAAGAGGGTAACAACAAGGTACCTTTTAATCGATTTTGATTTTATGAATAAAAGTACCCATAATACAGTCTGCTCTCGAAACTTTGAACAAATATTTCTTTCTTTTTGACATTTTAAAAGCATTCTTTGCCTTGAAACCCGAAACCATTTAGTACGCTTAATTTCGAAAGATTCTAGAGAGAATAGTCTTGACGGGACAATAATTAATATTTTAAAGTGTAGGACTTCAAATTATTGTAGAGGTATTTTAGATTTGTAAAGTATTTGTAGCTCCCGCTGTCATGTTTTTAACTTCAGCTGAGAATTGTAACCTGCAAAGATACGGAATCTACTTGACCAAAAACCGGTGCCGTGTTGAATTGTAAACCTCTTAGTGCCACCAAACTAAATAATTATGAATACCAAGTTTCTTGAACATGTTGCAATCTTAGCCGTCTTATGGCCTAAATTTTCAGTTGAGAGCTGTAGAAATAGTTAATTACAATAAATTAAATTAACTTATAGCACACAAGATTCTACCTTCTTGGTCAAAGCATCTGCTGTGTAAGTTTTCACAGTCAATTCGCAGAAAAATTTCGCTTGCAGACAAATATTAAGGAACCAATCCTACAGAAATGGAATTTGTGTTTCGTGGAATTGTGACGAAGGTACAAATTCATTGGTTTTATAATTTTCTAAGTTTTTCTGCCAGAGAGTCAATATGAATCTTCCACTTATTTCTTAAAATAGCAACGACGAACATCCGTGAAAACTTTTCAAAAATTCGACAAAAAATTACGTTACAACAAAGTTTAAAAAAAATTAAAGAAACTAATAGAATTTTATAATTTTTTTTATATTGTAAAGAATCCCTTAAAGATTGTGGAATTAGTTTGTTAGTTCAAATCTGTCCCCTTTTTCTCCATTCGTTTTACTCAAGCGTTTGAAGAATGATTTACATGCGGCACGCAATATATCATGGTCCATTTCATCCCAAATTTTCCTCAGCCGATCTTTAAACTGATTAATGTTTAAGCCTTTTGTAACACCGATTTTACTGAGCATAGATCCCCATTCGCAGAAGTCAATAGGATTAAGATCTGGCGACGCAGCAGACCACTCCTTACTTGGCATAAAATCGGGTAAATTTTGATTACATCAGTCCCATGTGCGTTTTGCCATTTATTATTTTGCTGATGTGGCAATTTTGGCAATAAAAACATTTTTTCATCCAAAAATAAAATTTCGCCCCCGTTGTGCCAATGTAGTAGCTCTCTGCTTTTTTTGATCCTCAAGTTTTTTTAGCCACAGTTGGGCCATGTACTCGCAGTTTCTTGTAGGCTGTGAATTCAAGATGATTTTTCAGAATCCGCTGCATTGATGATTTCGATACCCCTACTCCCTTAGCCATAGAACGACCCGATTGAGCTGCATATCGTCTTATCCTTTCTCTCACTCATTTTACGATATTTCAAAACTTCCCATTTCTTTATACTTACCTACCAAAAAAATATTTTTCAATGTGTAACCAATTAAGCGTTCACTAAACCAATTATAGGGCGTAAATTACTAATGATAATATACATGCAAGATCTACATATTTATGGTTTTCGCAAATAACAACAACTTCGTTGAGACAACAATGCTTTCATGGTTTGTGAGTTGCGTCATTGTGGGCGATTTTAAAATATTTAGTATTTTTCGGCAACGTGCGCGCATTAGTGCTATGATGCAAGCGCTGTATGCGCTTTATCCCCAAGCGCTGGCAGGGCAAATTAACTACGAAGTGCAGTTCAAACTGCAGCGTTACAATAGAATGCAATGCATGAGCTGCTAGTCTGGAGTTATAATCTATTTCCGCTACTCAACTATTTCATCTATGAAGTTTGGCTGGCGATGCGTGTTGTGGGGAAAATACTGCCCGATTGCTGTTGAATACCATTCGATTGGCATAATAATGATTGGCGCTATTATACTATGTATCTAACGCAAATCGCTGCCGGGCAAGCGTGTCTCTCTGGCCAGTTGGCCAATGATTTGCTCTTGAGCACAGTGGCAGTGCAGTTGATAATGCATTATCGGCAGTTGGCGCATCGCCTAGAGGCGCAGGATGAGTGACAAATGACGCGCAGCGAGTGCTAATGGGTGTGATGTGCATGATTTACGTTTTCTGCGTACCGTTATTGCCTATCATCAACAGATTTTGAAGTGCGTATATTTTTGTAGTCTCTTAAAATTAGTTGTTGTGGTGACTACAGTTAAGCGCTTCTCTTGCAGCTTATCACAGACTTTGTATGATGTCTTCGGCATTTCTTTCAAATCCCCATAGGCGCCTCAACCACCGTATTCTCCTGATTTGGCTCCCTACGACTTTTTCCTATTCCCAAAACTGAATTAACTAATGATAGGAAAGCGTTTTGCCACAATGGATGAGATCAAGTCAGAATCGACCAAAAAGCTGATTCGAAGCCATACCAAAAGCACATTCGAGTAAGTACAAAGTACTTCGAGGATTGGAAGAAGCGTTGGCACAAGTGTATTGTACCCGAGGGAGATTACTTTGAAGGCGACCAAACAGATATTGATGTATAAATAAGTACTTAGCAAAAAATTACAAAATTAAACTTTTCCTTTGAACACACCTCTTATAACACTGTTTAGCAATATTACAGACAACCGTGCGCTTTACTAACTTAAACGAGTTAATAATTACCTAAGCAAAAATCTAAGCGAAACCAATGCTTCGACATGAGTCCTAGTTTAGATAGCTATTCAAAATCGCAAAGGCAAAAAAATATGCAACGACGTTGTGCGTAGGAAGTAGGATTCCACGTTTAAAACTTTGCTTTGTTTCAGGTTTTTAATATTACGCATAGTTCTCATTATGACGAAATTTTACAACACGTTTCAAGGGTTCACGGCGTTACCTTTTTTGTAACGACAGTTTTATTGTGGGATCCTTATTATATTATAATTTAGAATATCTTTTGGAGTCTGTTATCGAATTTATTTCTTGAAATCGGTAATATCAAAGCTGCATGGAAGCTGCACTAGCCTCCTAATATCTACTATAAGACAGTCCCGAAAAATAACAATATTCTGTACAACAACTGTAACACAAAATTTATATAACTAATATTTAAAATTCAGGGTTTTACAAGACAAAGCTTTTTCTGTAAATTAAGCGTTTAATTCCAAACATTACACCCAACAGTTTGGAAGATCCAGTGAATAATAAGTGTTTAAAAAGCCATCGCTTAAAAATCTAAAAAAAAATTAATATGTTTCAAAACCTAACATACTACCATAAATCACTTTCTAACGGCTATTGGATTTTTATGAGTCTCGTTAAAAGGCAATATACACATTGTTTTTCTTTACTTTTCGCGTTTCGTGACCATACCAACCCACTGGACTGCGACGAACGCCCCTTCATGCACAGAGGCATATCATTAAGGGCTGCGAAATTACTTCCAACGCCTACTAAATTAACTGAATAATTTTAAATTAAAGTGTATAAGCACAATGTATTTACGATTACAAACAAGTACTGTTATTAATTTCATATAATCAGACAATCAAAATCAACCAATGAATGTATTAAAAAAAACTCCTTCTTAGAGCAACTGTTAAACTATTCAACAGAGTTTTATTTATTTTTACGAAGAACAGCGAGTACCTATGCCATATATCTATAATAATATGTTAAAGAAAAACGATTTGTTTGTTTGTTTGAACTGAATAGGCTCCGAAACCACTTGACTGATTTGAAAAATTCATTCATCGTTGGGAAGCTACACTATCTCCAGCCAACATAGGCTATTTTATATTTTCAAAAATGTTATCGATCCTTACTAAAACACCAATAATGTAACCCAAGGTGTAAAAAATTACTTAAAAATGTCTTACATCGTGCGATACGATTACTATTGATTATACAACAATATATCATACTACGACTTTGCAGAACATATAATAACCTACAAAAAATGTCGCATATACTATGTTTTAAATAAAATTCCCCACAACGGTTAGGAAGTTCAAAGCACCGAAATTTTAATAAATATAAATGCTTCACTTTAAATATGTCTTTTGCTAAATTCGGTAACAACGTAAAATTTTTTGCAGCTCCGAGTTGTTGTTCACGATCAGTTCAACTTATCTAGAGATATGTTAGCTCTTCAAGCAAAGGTCGTTAACCTCGAAGTCTGTCATGAACTTACGTTCAATCCACGGCTGTAGGGCTCAATAATCAATGACGGTTTCCATGAAAGAGTTATTTTTCTGATAACAGCTTATTTTTTAATGTAAAATAAAGAGTGACTGAAAAACTAATAGCAATAGATAAACTCAATAAACTCAAAAACTCTTCCATTATCAACCCCCGCAGTACTCATCTTCAAGGAAGAAGTTATGGTGGCATTTCTTGCCACCTAAATACTGCAATGTTGAAAGAAGCTGCCGATTTCACTGCTTAACCTCAATATTTTTATAACAAAACTCTTTCACAAACACCGTCAGCACTCTTGGTCTGACCTTGTACTGGATAATAAGAAATAACAAATTTGTTGCATGCTGTTATTACCGTGCTTTTTTGTTTAATAAATTTCTAACTACTTCACCTATTTATACACGATTCCACTGCTGTTGACACACATTTCTCAGCGACTATGTCAACGAAAATAGTCGAATTCGACGCCTTCATCAAAAAATCCAATTTCTGGTATGGCTTCAACGGCATTGTGGCCTACGACAATATCCACCGACAAGCAGGTGATGAACCAAAGCAAAAAAATTTCTCAGCTCGTTTGGCAACAGTGCTGCGCCAAATTTACAGCTTCATTGGCTTGGTCAACTTGTTTTGGGTACTCATCATAGAGGCTTGTTTTGTTGTGGTCAACTTTATAGAGAATTCCGATTTCTTACAAGCTGCAAGAAATTTAACCTTCATGGGGTTCGTTACTGTTTCGATTATAAAGATTTTAAGTAATCTGAAAAAGCGCTCACAACTCAGCATACTCATGCGAAAGCTCTACGAAATCTATCCCAAGCAGTCGACAGATCAGCCGCCATACGATCTACAGAGCCATCTGTTGCACTACAGACGCATTGGTTTTATGTATGGCTTTACGCATGGCTTCACTGTTTGCGCTTACAATTGCCTGCCGATGGTCAACTACTTATTTTTGGCGCCGCTGCTGCAGCTTACAGATGTTGAGCGCGAATTGCCTTACTTTTGTTGGGTACCCTTTGAGTGGCGCGACAATTGGCTCTATTATCCGCTCTATGTGTCGCAGGTCTTTGCCAGCCTCACAGGCTTGGGTGGTTATTTGGCTAATGATTTATTATTGTGCGCTGCAACTGTACAACTAATAATGCATTTTCGGAAATTGGCACGCGACATTGAAGCATATCAGGCGGGGAGCTCGTGTGCTACAGAGGAAGTGATTGCGCAACAGGCGCAGCGCGATTTAAGCTTTCTTAGTGCAGCCGTTTATTATCATAGTCGTACATTGGCGTAAGTTGGCAAGTCAGCATTTTGATTGTAGAAATATGATTTCTTTCATTTACTTTGCTTTTAGTCTGTGCGAGCTAATCAATGATATATTTGGTCTGCCGGTTCTCATCAATTTCATCTCGACTTCATTCGTTATATGCTTTCTAGCCTTTCAATTTACCGTTGGCGTGCCGTTAAGTGCTATGGTCGCGCTAGCTTGCTATATGATTTGCTCTTTCGTTCAGATTTATATGATATGTAGTTATGGTCAGCAGCTGATAACAACGGTAAGTGTGAGTACATCGGGGAAATTTTAAGCAGTACTGTGAAGTACAGTCTGTATCAGTTGGAGCAGAAAACTTCTTTAACTAAAATAAGGAGTTGATCAAATAATCCCTAATCAGAATTGGAGTATGTTGTGTTTTTAGAAACTAGCGAAAAGGAACTCAACTTTTTTCTTGTAAATTTAGACAACAGTTTTGACAAATAGAGTAGAGACTGAATTGAGAGAAGCAACGCAGGAGATGCCTCTTAGTTCTCGTTGTGTTGTTAATACAAAAAATAATCAACCCTTTTAGAAAATAAAGTTCCGATTGGTCATAAAGTTGATTGTTCCTCTACTTTTTTATGAACGAGTATGAACGAGTATCATATTTAAAATATTCATCTTCTTAATTTTAATAGAGTGAAAATATTGGCCATGTCGTTTATAACCACAACTGGCTCGTTGCCGACATTCGGTACAAGAAAATGTTGATTATTATCATACGTCGCGCTCAAAAACCAGCTATGCTTAAAGCTACTAGCTTTGTAAATATCTCAATGGGCACTTTAGCCGATGTGAGTAAATAGTAGATATACAAATACCATATATTTATTATGCAACTAAGTGATGTGTTTTCTTAAATTTTTCGCAGTTACTGCAATTATCATACAAATTCTTCGCATTAATTCGGACAATGTATGCACGGTAAGCGATAAAGTAATAGTTAATTTAGAGCAACAAGATTTAGTTAATGGAGCTAATCTTAATACTATATATTCCATAAACGATACAATAGTATGATTTTAAATGTTATTCAATCAGTGTTAGTTGGAATAAAATAGATTGTATTTAAGAACTAAATAAATCATATAACTTTATTTATTTTACATATTTAGGAGTCTTCTGAACTTCAAGTAGAATACAGACAACATATTCGGCACGGTCGGTTAAATAGCGACCAATAATTTATTCTATATATTGTTTACTCTACCCTTCACTCCACTGTATTCTATACTCCACTCTACTCTTTACTATACTCTATTCTATACTATATTCTATACTCAACACCACTCTACTCTACTCTACTCTATACTTTACTCTACGAGTATAAAATACTCTGCTCTGTTCTACGCTCCACTCTACTCTAAGCTCACCTCCACTCTACTATACACTCTACTATACGTTACTGTATAATCTACTCTAGTCTACTCTACTCTATATTTTACTTTATAATCTACTCTACTCTAAGCTACACTCTACTGTGCTGTACACACTACGATACTCTACTATACACAAGTAGCTTTGCTTTCCAACTGTTTTATTATATCAATGACTCAGGTGATCGCCATAACCACGTGGATTCAGTATGAATTATAAGACTAAAGTTTCAATCAAGTTTGAGAGACAAAGTGATCAACCATTTATGAACAACGTCGAATTACTAAATCTTTGGAGCAAATCCAAGCGGACAGAATAAGAATAATGCCTATATTATGGTCTGCAAGAAGGTTCTAATTTTAATTTTTAATTTATGGGTAATGAGCATTATCTGCCATTATATTAATGTTCATATAAACATATACAATACTACAATAAAATTTACGATATTGTGCAGTGTTACCAGACATTTTTTTAAAATGATTTTAGACAATTAAAACAAGCAATTATTAAATGAATATAATTACTGTCTTATAATAAATTTAACCAAATCACAATGAATAAACTCAACTAAGACAAGTATTATTACACACAAACATTTAAAAACGGTGCCAATGCAAAATATTATTGCAAACTCAAAGCACAATATTACGCAAGACTTTTAAACTTCACTGAACGGGAAAATGCTCTTGTAAGAAATTACCAAACAATGCCTTTTAAGTGCAGACACATACCGAGTCCTTAGCAATTGGCGAATTCTCAGAAATGTGACGAGTATATATATATATAGACTGCAGCAGCTAACGGTAACCATGTGTCTAATAAAAGCACACAGTAATTTTATGTTCTCTTTAACTGTCTATCGTTATCGTTACCGTTTTATTTTTAACGCTTTACAAAATATGTAAACAGACCTAAAGCCACATATATAGTATATGTATGTATATATGCATAATTAGGTGGGTCAAAAAAACGAATTTTGTTTTTCATTGAGTTATAAAATTCATAAGAAAAAACGTTTTGCTTTAAAGTAATCAAAATTCAACCCTTAATATAGATTTAAACGATTTACGAAAAAAAAACATAAGAAACCTTTACAATTTCCTACAAAATACCATAAATGAAACGAGATATTTTTTCAAGTAGTTAGTAGCGAAGTTTAAATTTTACTAACTGATAATAAGAAAAACAAATAGAAAACTGTAAGGTGGAAGACCTTTCCGTTACAATTAAAACCTCATATTTGAATTAGTTTTATTTTTAACCACCCTAATGTATATACATTGAACTTGGCAAGGGTGCTTAGTTCTTATTGTCGCGACAACCAGTAATTAATATGCCTTTCCTTAGGCGCCTACACATAGCTTAGAAAGCACATCTTCTCAACGATTATATCAGTGACCGCTTTGAAAATTTCAAAAGTAAACTTTTCTACAGACATACCCATATGTGTGTATATACATACAAGTATGTACATGTGCACGTGTACTGAAATGTAAAATTAAATACTTGTAAAAAATGTCGAAGCTGCTTAGTGTATTTACAATGAATTATATTTATTGTACTTTACACACATGCATAATTGTGTATGCATGTCTCTACGTTTTTACATTTGTATGCTTTTAAGTGAGCTTATACTTACACTTTCTTTTATTAGATTACTGTTTGTAAGGTCTTCTTAAAGATATGTAAATAATAACGTAATAATATTGAAAATTATACTTGTAGTATAGTAAAACGCCTTCGGTACATGAGTCTTAATAATAAAAAAATTACTACATTGTGTAACCTAGCGCAAGTGGCAGGCAGGTGTAGTAAAATAAATCCATTATTTTTGCATAAGATTAATGGTTTTATTTAGCATAGTTAAAATGATCCGATTTAGGTCGAATACGGAACGTTTTGACCGATAACTGCCATTTTGAAGATAATTTCATAATGTCCATCTTTCGCCATGGACAAGAGAAGGGTAATAATTACTTGGTGCTAGGTCCAGACTATGAAGTGGATGCGTAAAAACTTCCCAACCAAGCTACCGGAGCTTCTGGCGAGTCACTATTAACATATGTGTCCTGGCACTCGCTCCTATTGGGTAAAGCTGACCTCTTCTGGGCGATTGCTGCCTTCAGATAGTTCAATTGTCGAATTAAGAGTAGGGGTGCATCACTTAGTAGCTAATTCCAAATCAATCGCATCAAGCACATAGCAAAATCTTCCTGATCATCAATCCTGGCTTGGCCACCGTCTGCAACGGCTCTCCGCCACTGTTTTCGCTTAAAGTGACCCGCTTTTCATTATCAGTAACATCCGCTTTAGAACTGGATCGGCTGCGCTACACAAATGGAAATTCGGTCCATGAGGTTTTTTGGCAATCACTTAAGCAATCACAAAACTGTCTGCGAAGTTTTTTAGTACGAAATCTTAGTAGAGCGTAACTCGATCGATCTTATACAACACAAGAACTAGAAATTACTAAAAGCAGCTATTCGAAACATAATAGAATTCTTTATATTATGTAGACCTATTATAAAGATCAAAAATTTCTTTCTCGACCCAAAAAACTGTAGTGTACAATATATAAATTCCCAAAATAATCTCCTTTCCGTCTTTGAATACAAGTATAAATACTGAGATTTGTTGCCAAAAAATCCTAAGCGGTTCAGAACAGCTCAGCAAACGTTGGCCAACTACCAGCAGCTGTGCAGTCGCAAAATTCTTCTGGCCCTAAGTAAATCGTCAGAGTTCTTGGGAGCTCAGAGCAAGGTCCGAACTAACCTAACCTCAACATCTAGAGAGCTCGACTACCGGCTTTAAGGTCGCCAGAAAACTCCTGAAGGGTTTTCAAACGCAAATAGTTATGAAGAAGAAACTGCAGCAACACCATTGTATCTCTTAATAAATCCAAAGGGGAAATAAATAGAATTAATAAGCATGAATTCCAATGCATTCCAAACTGTATGCGAAAATATTTCGTGCTTGTCAAATTATAGTACATAACAGCTGAATCTTCATTGTTATATCCTGAACAGGGTACATTAATTTTGCCAAGAAGTTTGAAACACCTAAAAGGAAGCGTCAAAGACCCTATAAAATATATATCCAACTGATCAGCATTACAAGCTGAGTCGATTTATGTTCGTCATGTCTGTCTGTATATAGGTACGCGAATTAATCAGTCAGTTTTTTAGATATCAATCTGAAATTTTGCACATGTCCTTGTATGGAAAACTTCTTCATTTGACAAGATATCTTTACGAAATTTGAAATTTCGAAACTCAGAACCTTCAATTGTTAACAATTGAAATCTTTAATCTATCCTACTACACAGATACAGATACTTATACGGTTGTAATACCTTAAAAGTGCAACAAATGTGTGTATAATAATGAAAATATTTTCTATGAATATATGTATTGTTATTATGTGTGTATGTATGTGTGCCTTGGCGTGTTAGCGCTCATTTGTTGCACGTGTGTCGCGTGTCAATGCTGTTATTACTGCTGAAACTCTTACACACGCATATACTCATGGACCTATACACTCCACCTATACATATGCAGCTGCAGTGCCTTAAACTCTATTATCCTATTTCCTACAACTTCGAAAGTGACTGCTACGCATACACCTAAATTGAACGCATACCATACCTTAGCTGAGTGGTGTTGCTAACTAACATAACAAAGAAAATTGGCTGCAGCTAGCTGGCAGCGTCTTGGGAGCGCACAACCGTGAGGACTCGAAGCTGATAAGAGCAATTCAACGTTTTTCCACCACCACAAGCTTTACTATCTACTACTTTACTATACATCTATACACATACAAACGGACAACTCCCCTTCGTGTCATTCTGTCCCGATGTGTGCCCTTGAGCTCAACGGATGCACGTGCTACCGACAGCTGTGGCGGATAAGCAACCGCAGTACTCCTTTACACTCCCAGCTGCTGTTTTTGCATTGACAAGCAATGTGTTCGTTTGTGTGTGTGCGTGGAGTAACATTTAATATGCGCATAAATTTGACATTGATGGATCCTAATAGAGTTAGCGTGCGCAGTGCAAGTGAACGATGAGTGTTGGCAGCACTTTAACTGCAACAAATTCGTCTTCCTACTTTAGCGCTAACTGAATAATAAACACGTTAGTACCATATACAGTCTGAGTATTTTTATAGTGAACGATAAAAATTAAACTGTCGTCTATTTATTGCTTACCCAGTTTGGTCCATTACTCTGCAGAAAAACCAAAAGATTAAGCTTCAAATTCGAGTTTTAGTGCCGAGTGTTCGTTGCATGGAAGGAGCTTAGATAATCAAAAGCAAATCGGAAGCAAATCGGGGTCTCTAGTTAGATAAAATTCGAAAATCTGAGTGTTGCATTGAAATAAAAACATACAAAATTTTAATTTCGGCTGCACCGAAGCTATAATACCCTTCACTGGGAACCTTAGGTCAAATTTCGTGAAGATATTTTGTCAAATCTAAAAGTTTACTATACAAATACTTGATTACTATATTTTATACTATTTCGATATCGGCGGTTCCGATAAATGAGCAG